ATTGTGTACCCCATATAGGCTAACCCACTGTAGCCTAACAAACGCAACATATATAATGTTTGACACACCCCCATAGGCAAAGTGGGGAAGACCTAGGGGTCACAAGACCAGTCAAGGCAAAGCAAGGCAACAACAAGCTCAGGGTGGATCTCAAGGATACCACACAAATTCCGAGCACAAACTAGTGGTCACAAGACCAGTTCACATGCAGGTTTATAACAGAGCATGAGATACAGTGATCACAACCTAGCAAGAGTAAACATGCAGGTATAGATATATATAGTGATCACAGTACAAGCAAAGTCAAGAGGTAAGCAAGTGAGGTCCAGTAGGCACAAGGCCTAGTAGAGTGCAGAAGCGCTGATGGTCACGAGGCTGAAGCGCCTTGGTGAACACATCAGCAGTGTTGGCCTCAGTGGCCACGTAGCGAATACAAAGCTGACCGCGCTGCTGCAGCTCTCGAGCAAGGAAGTACCGCAGGGCGATGTGCTTCGTTCTGTGCTCCAGTCTGTGCTCCTCACACAAGGCAATGGCAGCCTTGTTGTCGACGTACAGTACTGGAGGAGAACGAGGCGGCTCTCCGAGGTCAGTCAGCAGGTAGGTCAGCCAGCGTAGCTCCTGGGCAGCCATGGCTGTAGCGTAGATCTCAGCCTCGCAACTGGAGCCGAGAACAGAAGAAGAGCGTGTAGAGCGCCAAGAAACTGAGCCAGAGCCAAGGCTGAAGGTGTAACCCTGAGACGACCGCTGAGTGGCCTGGTCGTCTGCCCAAGAAGCGTCTGAGTGCCCTGTGAGCACAACTCGGTCTCGCCCTCCAAGCACAAGCCCCATGCCCGACGTACTGCACAAGTAGCGCAACACCCTCTTAGCGGCATCCATGTGCTCCTTCCTGTGACGGCCAGGAGCGACATAGCGTGCAAGGATGCTAAGAGGGTATGCAAGGTCAGGTCGAGTGCAGGTCATCAGGTACATGAGGCAGCCCACAAGCTCTGGATACGGGCCACTCGGCTCTACGGACTCATTCGAAGGCAGAGCTGAGAGCGAGTGACCGGTAGGCAGAGGAGTGGACTGAGGCGAGGAGTACGTGAAGCCAAAGCGCTGGAGAACCTGCTGCACCATGTGTGACTGAGTCAAGGTGATGGTGCGCCGTGCTCTGTCCCGGGTGATCCGCAAGCCAAGATAGCTTGTCAGCTCACCCAGGTCTGTGCACGTGTGTCTCCTCTGCAGCTCCGACTTCACGTAGGCGAGTCCTGCAGTGTCAGCAGTGGCAAAGACCAAGTCGTCGACGTACACGAGGATGTAGAACGGCGGCAGCGAAGTGTCGGTGCGCAGGAACAGCGACGGGTCAGCTGTAGAAGGCGCGAACCCAAGAGCCGCAAGTGTAGTCCTCAGTGTGTCGTGCCACTCACGCGGAGCCTGGCGGAGACCGTAGACCGGCCGCTGAAGCCTCCACTGGGTACCAGGAGGAAACGACCCAGTGAAGCCAGGTGGGCGGCGCAGCCAGATCTCCTCGTGCAGGCTGCTCTGCAAGAAAGCAGTGCTGAAGTCAAGTGAGTGAAGCTCGTAGTCGCGGTGAGCGGCTATGTGCAGCAACACCCGAAGAGTAGTCATCTTCGGGGTGGGGGAGAAGGTCTGGAAGAAGTCAACTCCCTCTCGCTGACTGAAGCCTCGAGCCACGTAACGCGCCTTGAAGACAGGCGGAGAACCCGGCGGCCGCTTCACCCTGAAAATCCACATGCCACTGACGATGTTCGCCCCAGGAGGGGGAACCTCGTCGACGTAGGTGCGTGTGGACTTCCAGGAAGCCATCTCAGCGTCCATGGCTGTCTGCCACTGAGAGGAGTAGGGACCCGCCATCGCCTCAGCGTAAGTGCGTGGGGTCGGGATGTCTGGTGCATCCGGGTCTCCCTCAGGGGCAACTAGCAAGGACACGAGACGGGGCAAAGCAGCAGCAAGACACTGGAACTCCTCCTGTCTGTCCTCAAGGACGTCCGTGCCAAGAGCACACTCACCCCCGACGGACGGAGGACAGACAGACTCAGACTCAGACTCAGCAACAAGGCTAGCAGCGTAGTCTAGACGACAGGCAGCAGCAAAGTCAACCAACTCAGCGACCAGAGCAGACGCAGTCGAGGACTCAAAGGTAGGGTCAGTGACAACAGTAGCGAGGAGACGAGTGACAGTAGGGTGCTCAGCACGGTACCGGTCAGACTCAGGGTCCGGAACGTGAGGCAAAGAAGACGCGGGAGGAGACGGGAGAGGGACACGCTGAGGAGCAGTAGAGGGACGCAGAGTCATGTAGTGAGTGCCTGGGACAGGAGGAGGACGCTCACGACGGACACGACTACCAGTGCGAGCACGACGAACAGGCGACGCAGGACGAGACTCAGGCTCACGACGCTCTGTAAGACCTCTTGTGGGACCAGTGTAAGGAGAGGGAGCAGGGAGAGGCGAGGTAGGCGGTAACTGCGACTGCGACTGGACAGGCAGAGGACACTCGACGGAGGGAGGAGGACAAGGAGGAGGAGCCTGCCCAAGAACCTGCTGAAGGAGCGGTACGAAGTACGGTCGCGGCCGCGCAGCGTCTCCAGAAGCAGAGGAGACTCCAGCGGCCGGGTCAACAGCACCAGCAGCAGCTCCACCAGCCGGGTCCTCAGCACCAGTAGTAGCTCCAACGCCCGGGTCCTCAGCAGCAGCAGCAGCGCCACCGCTCGGGTCCTCAGGTCCAGCAGCAGCTCCACCGTCCGAGTCCTCAGTACCAGCAGCAGCGCCACCGCCCGGGTCCTCAGCTCCAGCAGCAGCTCCAACGTCCGAGTCCTCAGCACCAGCAGCAGCTCCACCAGGCGGGTCCGCAGCACCAGCAGCAGCTCCAACGTCCGGGTCCTCAGCACCAGCAGCAGCGCCACCCCCAGGGTCCGCAGCACCAGGAGCACCACTCCGAAGACTGCAGCGCCGTGTGTACCACTCGCGGATCTGCTGAATGGGGGGGAGCTCCTGGGTAGGAGGGGAAGTACCGGGACGAGCTCCAGCAGCACCTCTCCGGAGGCGGCAGTACTCGAGGTACCTCTCCTGCAGCTGCTGGGAGGAGAGGGCTCCTCCAGGTGTAGCACGCTCAGGCTCAGCACCCCCAGACGCAGCACCCCCAGACCCAGCACCCCCAGGCTCAGCACCTCCAGGCTCCGCACCTCCTGGCTCAGCACCCCCAGGCTCCGCACCCCCAGACTCAGCACTCCCAGGCTCAGCACCCCCAGACGCAGCACCCCCAGGCTCAGCACCCCGAGCAGGACGAGAGTCAACAGCTACCTCGACAGGCTCACCCGGGTCTACCTGGGACACACCTGAGGGAGCGGCACCCTGAGGGGGGAGGGGGTCTGGTACCTCAGCACCTGGAGCGAGGAAGAGAGGTGGGGGGGGGAGCGGGGCAGTGCGGTAGGGGAAGAGGCGGTAGTAGGGGACGGACTCGTCAAAAGTGACGTCCTGAGAGGCCAGGACACGCCGCGAGGTGGGGTGGTAGAACTGCCAACCAGGGGCGTCCGGGACAAAGCCAAGGAAGACGCAGGGGACAGCGCGACGGGAGAGCTTGTCCGCGGACGTGTCGCGGACAAAAGCTCGGGATCCCCAGACCCAAAAACGCGACGCATCGCCAGCCTCTCCCGTCCAACGCAGTGTCGGAGAAGTCTCGGGCAAGGAGACACGGGGCCAGAGGTTGAGCTGATGCGCAGCGTATCAGACTGCAAACGGCCACAGAAAATGGGGGGCAGCCGCATGGCTCAAGGAGGTACGAGCGACCTCCATGACCAGACCAATGCGGCGCTCAGCAACCCCATTCTGCTGTGGAGAGGCCGGAAGCGTGTACGACTGCTCAATGCCCTCCTGCTGACAGAAGGCCTCCAATAGGCCAGAGGAAAACTCCCCACCTCTGTCAGAGTGCAGACGCAGGACAGGGAAGTCGGAGCGGAAACGCTCACGGAGCTGGAGACGAGATCTGCGGATCCAAGGGATCAAGACATCAGGGACGTCACCCTTGGCGCGCAAGGGGAAGACCGTGGTGTAGCGCGAGAAGTCGTCAACAACAATCAGGAAGTACCTCTCCTGACCCTGACCACGGACGCGGGCTGGGCCCCACACGTCCATGTGGAGCGTCTGCAAGGGAGCAGTCGTCGGGGGAAAGGAGGAGGAGTGAGGAGCGGCGCGCTGCCGTCCCTCGACACAGGGAATACAGGGAGGAGCAGGCGAGTCGGGAAGGGGAGGGAGCACCCTGGGAAGACCAGCAACAAGGTCCCGCTTGTGCATGGCCCGAAGGCGCTGCACAGACGGGTGACCAAGGCGGTGGTGCCAAAGGACAGTCTCATGTGCCAGAGAGCGACACGAGCAGGGGGCGGACAGCTGACCTGACGCAGACGCAGACGCAGACGCGGACGCAGCTACCTGAGGGGACTCAGTGGTCAGTGTGTAAAGGTCCGACCCCGGCTCCCGAGTGAAGGTAGCCAGGTGGCGACCCGTCCGAGCACACGTGCAATGTGTCACGCGCTCGTAGGCAGGGGTGAACTGGTGAACACCCCCGTCCTGGAGCGCACTACCTGCCACCAAGTTCGTAGAGAACGAGGGGAGGTAGAGACCTGACAGCGTGCCTGACGGGACCGCCGGACAAGGAAGGACAGTGGAGGAGGTCGCAATGACCGGACCCCCAGAGGGGTCAGCAAGGGAGACAGCAACTGGCCGAGCGAGTGGCTCAAGGACAGTGCGGTCACGAAAGAAGGAGCGAGAAGCACCTGAGTCCAGTGTGAAGGTGTGCAGTGCTGCAGTCGACTCAGTACCAGGGGGCACGGACGCACGAGCACCTAGAGCAGCGGCCTCACCAGGACCTGTGGGAGCAGACGCACTAGCACCTAGAGCGGCAGCCGGACTGGCCTGAATGCCCGGGTCGGGCGGAACACGCAAGTACTGAGCACCCTCTCCACTAATAGACATCGCATACATGGCAGTGAGAATAGCATCAAAGTCTAAAGCCCAAATATCAACACCCCTCTTTTCCAGATCAGCCCAGCGCGGCAGCTCAGTGGCAGCAGGAAACTGAGTGCGCCACGCGTCGTTAAGGCGCGCGAAGCAGCGCTGCGTGGGGTGCGGCCTTGCTGCCCGCTGCGGTCACCTGTGCGAATGACGTACGTGCAGGTAACGCTACGCTGCGCATACCACTCACGGGCGGCCTGAAGCGTCGGGGCGGGCTGCTGACTCTGCCCTCCGCCAGTGCCTCCACGACCACCACCCCCACCGCCGCCGCCCCGGCCACCTCCACCCCTGCCGCCGCCACGACCACCTCCGCCTCCGCTGCCGCCTCCACCACCACTCCCACCGCTGCTGTCTCCTCCCCCACTGCCGCCACTAGTCTCCCCAGCCGCGCCTCCACTCCCACCGCCTCCACCCCCACCTCCTCCGCCGCCACCCCCACCCCGGCCGCCCTTGTTCCTGCGGCGCCCGCTCGAAGCAGACGCGGTCCCGACCTTCTCAGCACCAAGAAGGTCGACAGCAGCAGCAGAGGCGACAGAGGGGAGGAGGGGGGAAGGGGAACACCCCTCAAAGAACGGGGTGCGGGGGTCGCCACGAGAGGTGCCTACAGCGACTATGCTCGCCTCGGCTGCAAGCAGTTCCTTCTCGAGGAGGGCAACGGTGAGCTCAGTGGGGGAGCGAGAGAGGAAGTGGTCCCTGACTGCGCGCAGAGAGTCAGGGAGCCGGGTGACGATGTGGTAGAGAGTGATCCAGAGCGGGGGGGGGTTGCTAGTGAGAAACTCGGCAGGCATAGCAGCGCGAAAGCGGGCCTCACTAGTCTTAAGGTGGGTGATGAGGTCTGCGACAGTGTGAAAGGAGGCTAGGTCGGGGAACAGGTAGGGGAGAGTGAGGCGGCCTAACGTGGCAGAAGCGGGTGAGGAGTAGCGGGCAACTACAGCGGTGTAGAGGTCCTTAGCAGTCTTGCACTGCCCGAAGTGCTCGCGCTCGTCTAGCGGCAGGGAGTTGCGAATAGCAAAGCGAGCGTGTGCATCACGGGTCTGCCACTGGGAACGCAGAGTGCTGTCAGCAGTCGAGTCAGGGGCAGTGGCATGGCCTAGGGCGTGGTCGTACAGTGAGATATCTTCCTTGGCAGTGAGCTGTAGGAACAGGTGCAGGTCATCGAGCCAGGTTTCGAACTTCACTGGACGGCCCTCGGCATCGAAAGCTAGAACTGGCGGACTAGCCATAGTGACAGTAGCAGTAGGAATCAGGCCGCTGGAAAGGTGTGCGGAGGGTCAACGGGGCCGGCGGGGCCGCTAGGCAAGGCGGACGGGGTCGACTGTCCGTAGTGGCACACGAGCGGTAGTAGTAGGTATAAGGTAAACAGTAGGAACGAGGCCGCTGGGAGACTGTGGGCAGTGTCAACGGGGCCGGCAGCAGCGGCAAACGAGTGGTAGCGTACGGGCGGCAGCAGCAGTGGCGCACGGGCGGCAGCAGCAATGGCGCACGGGCGGCAGCGGCTTTGGCGCACGGGCAGCAGCGGCAGTGAGCGCGGTAATGGCGGCCGCAGTAGCAGCACACGGGCGGCAGCGGCGGTAGCGCACGGGCGGCAGCTGCAGCGGGCGGCGGGAGTAGCGGTAGCGAGCGCACGGGCGGGAGCTGCAGCGGCGGCGGCAGCGGCAGTAACGCACGTGCAGCAGTGGCAGCGGCGCACGGGCAACAGTGGCGGCGGCACAGCAGCGGCAGCGACAGTGGGCGGTGCGCAAGCAGCAGCGGCAGCAGCGTACGACAGCGGCAGCGGCAGTGGCGTACGGGCGGCTGCGGGTGACGGGCGGGCGGCAGCTGCGGCAGCGAGCTGCGGGCCTGCGGGGCCACGGCGGGGCGCGCGCGAGCAGCAGGGGCCGCGCGAAGGGCTGACGGGCCGCGTGCGGGCGACTAGCGGGCCACGCGCGCAACTAGCGGGCCGCGCGCGCAAGAAACAGAGCCGCGCGCGCGAAAAAAAAAGGACCCGCGCGCGGGTAGCTAGCGGGTCGCGCGCGCGCGGTGGGGAAAGGCGCACGAGGGCGCGAGGCCTTAAGGGGCCGTAAGAACCGAGGCGCTCTAAGGCGCAGGTAGGTAGGTAGGTAGGTAGGTAGGTAGGTAGCGGTGGGCCCTAAGAACGGTCCTAGCGAAGGACCTGCTCTGAAACCATGTCAGAATGAACGGACTGGAATGATTGAACTAACAGAGAAATCAGTACAAATAGCAAACCCTAGAATTGTGTACCCCATATAGGCTAACCCACTGTAGCCTAACAAACGCAACATATATAATGTTTGACACAGGGTCTACCTGAGAAACACCTGAAGGAGCAGGACCTGGCGCGGGAAGGGGGTCTACCGGGGGAGGACTTGGTGCGAGGAAGAGCGGCGGGGGGGTGCGAGGGGAAGTACGGTAGGGAAAGAGACGGTAGAAGGGAACTGACTCGTCCTGAGACGCAAAGACACGGCGCGAGGCGGGGTCGTAAAACTGCCAGCCAGGCGCGTCAGAAGGAAAACCAAGGAAGACACAGGGAATGGCGTGAGCAGAGAGCTTGTCCGCAGTGGTATCGCGAGGCACGAGCACCCCAGACCCGGAAACGCGACGCATCGCCAACCTTCCCCGTCCACAGCAGTGTGGGCGAGGTCTCCGGCAAGGAGACACGGGGCCAGAGGTTGAGCTGATGCGCAGCGTACCGGACCGCAAACGGCCACAGAAAATGGGGAGCAGCCGCATGGATCATGGAGGTACGAGCGACCTCCATGACTAAGCCAATGCGGCACTCAGCAACCCCATTCTGCTGCGGAGAGGCCGGAAGCGTGAACGACAGGTGGATGCCGTGCTCCGCACAGAAGGCTGCCAAGAGGTCGGAGGAGAACTCACCACCTCCGTCAGAGTGCAGACGCAGGACAGGAAAGTCGGACTGGAACCGAACAGCACGGATCCAGGGGATCAGAACATCAGGGACCTCATCCTTGCTGCGCAAGGGGAAGACCGTGGTGTAGCGTGTGTAGTCGTCGACAACCAGCAGGAAGTACCGCTCGCGGCCCTGCCCCTGGACGCGGGCGGGGCCCCACACGTCCAGGTGGAGAGTCTGCAGTGGAGCCTCTGTGGGAGGGAACGAGGAGGAGTGAGGAGCGGCGCGCTGCCGCCCCTCGACGCAAGGAATGCAGGGCGGCGCAGGCGAGGGAGGGAGGGCAGGCAGAGACCTGGGAAGACCAGAGACCAAGGAGCGAGAGTGCATGCCACGAAGGCGGGGCAGGGAGGGGTGACCAAGGCGGTGGTGCCACAAGAGAGTGTCGTGCGACAGGCGGCGACACTCACACTGGGTAGCTACCTGAGCAGACGCGTACAGCTGAGGAGACAAAGGGGTGTAGCGCGACACAGCAGTGAGGGTGTACAGACTGGACCCAGGCGCACGTGTGAACGTGGCCAGGTGGCGGCCGGTCCGAGAGCACGTGCAGTGCGTCACCCGCTGTCCTCCGAGAGTAAAGGTGTCAACCCAGTGATCCTGAAGGACGGCGGTGCTCACCAAGTTCGTAGAGAACGAGGGGATGTGGAGACCAGACAGCTCACCGGACGGGACCGCCGGGCACGGAAGCACAGTCGTGGCTCGTGCAAGCACTGGGCCCCTAGAGGGGTCAGCCAGTGAGACAGGGACAGGTGCAGGGAGGGGTGTGACTGTGGTGCTATCGCGAAAGAAACAGCGGGAAGCACCAGAGTCAAGTGTAAAGGTGTGCAAGGCCTCAGCAGGCGCAGTACCAGAGAGAGCAGACTCACTAGCACCTAGGGCTGCAGTCTCTATACCTGGGTCAGGCGGGACACACAAGTAACAATCACCCTCAGCACTAACAGTCAATGCATACATGGCAGCAAGGATTGCATCATAGTCAAGATCATAGATAGGTACATCACGCCTAAGCAGATCTGCCCAGTTGGGGAATTCAGTAGCATCAGGAAACTTGGCGCGCCAGGCGTCGCTGAGCCGAGCAAAGCAGCGGTACTCAGTGTGAAAGCCGTTGCATGGGCGACCCTTGCGAGGGCCAGTGAGAATGACATAGGGGCAGCGACCAGGACCCCCAGACGCCCCACGCCCGGCATACCAGTCATGGAGCTGCTGAGAAGAGGGGGTCTGGCGCTGCTGCTGCTGCTGCTGCTGGCCCCCACTGGAGCTCCCCTTCTGGCCGGTCCCACTCCCGCCCCCACCTCCACCGCCACCACCACTGCCTCCTCCCCCACTACCGCCGCTGCCACCTCCACCACTCCCGGTCCCACCGCCGCCCCACCCACCGCCTCCACCCCCACGGCCACCCCCACCACCTCCACCACCCCCGCCGCCTCCACCACCGCTCCCTCCACCGCCACCTCCACCACCCCTGCCACCCTTGCCGCCCCTGCCACCGCCGCGCTTCCCACTAGGAGCGGAAGCCGCTGCGACCTTCTCAGCACCGAGGAGGTCGACTGCAGCAGCAGCTGAGGCGTAGGAGGGGGCAAGAGGGGAGGGGGAGCATCCCTCAAAGAGGGGAGTGCGAGGAGTGCCACGAGCAGCACCTACAGCGAGGATGTTCTTCTCTGCTGCTAGGAGCTGCTGCTCGAAGTCGGCTAGAGTGATAGTGGTAGGGTCCTTGGCGAGGAAATGGTCCCTGACCGAGCTAAGAGTGTCAGGGAGGCGGGTGACGAGGATGTAGAGGGTAAAGTACAGCGGGGGGGTGTTCGTGGCGAGGAACTCGTCGGTAAGAGCGGCACGAAAGCGGGCGTCACTAGTGCGGAGGTGAGAGATGAGGTCCTCAGCGGTGGTAAACGAGGACAGGTCTGGGAACAGGTAGGGCAGGATGAGGCGTCCTACGGCTGCAGTGGCTGGGGAGGAATAGCGCGCAACTACAGCGTCATACAGCGCCTTAGCAGTCTTGTGCTGACTAAAATGCGCGCGCTCAGTGATCGGCAGGTGGTTGCGGATAGCGAGGCGCGCAGCAGCATCGCGAGTCTGCCACTGTGAGCGGTCAAGAGCAGAAGCAGCGTCAGCAGGAGCAGCGGCAGTGCCAGACGCGTGATCGAACAGTGAAACGCCGTCTTTGGCATCCGTCATAAGGAACATCTGCAGGTCGTCAAGCCAAGTGGCAAACTCTATCGGGCGACCGTCAGGCTCAAACGCGAGAACATTCAGTGTCGCCATTATAGCAGCGCAGGCAAAAGCAACAAGCCAAGGCAGCAGGAACAGGCAGTAGGCAAAGGCAGGCACACTTCAGGCAGGCAGACGCAAGGCAGGCAGGCGCACTGCAGGCAGGCAGGCGCAAGGCTGGCAGGCAGGCGCAAGGCAGGCATGCGTACTTGAGGCAGGCATGCGCACTTCAGGCAGGCAGGCGCAAGGCACGCAGGCGTACTTCAGGCAGGCAGGCGCAAGGCAGGCAGGCGCACTTCAGGCGCAAGGCAGGCAGGCGCACTTCAGGCAAGGCGCAAGGCAGGCAGGCGTAAGGCAGACAGGCGCAAGGCAAGCGGCGCGCGGTTAGAGCGGACACGCGGCTCACATGCAGGGCAGGGCGGGCGGCAAAATGCGCAGTGCGAGGCAGCGGTGCACAGGCAGGGCAGGGCGCAGCGGCGACGGGCGGCGCACGGGCAGGGCACGCGCGGCGAATGGCCGCGCGTGGTGGCAGGCTGCGTGCGGCTGCGGGCTGCGCATGGCTGCGAGCTGCGCGTGGCGTCGAGCTGCGCGCGGCTGCGGGCTGCGCGCGGCAGCGGGCTGCGCGCGGCTGCGGGCTTCGCGCGAGGCAGCAGCGGGCGTGCAGGCGGCTGAGCGCGGCGTGCGACGCTGCAGTGGGCTGCGCGTGGGCTATAGCAGGGGGGGCGCGCTTAAAAAAAATATACGCGCGTGTGCAGCCGAGGCGCGCGCGGGCAGCAGGCAAGGCAGGCAGGCAGGCAAGGCAGGACTGTAGGTGAGGTAACACGGTAACCGGTGGGCCCGAATCTTAGGTCCTAAAGACCTACTGCTCTAGATACCATCTTAGGAGCTAGGCATCAATGAGTCGACTATCGAGAGATTTTGGTACAAGGAGAAAACCCTAAGGGGTTATACCCCACAGTATCTACCCCACTACAGCCTACCAATAACTACAACATAGATACATGTTTGACAGGTGGAGGGGGTTCGGTTCGGTATCAGACGAAATGCAACCCGCTATCTGAAATTTCAGACTAAGTATAAGGATTGCTCTGAAAAATCAGATGAACTAAA